ATATCATCTTTTTTAGCGTATTATGAACAAAAGCAATGATCGCACGTTGCAGAGGTGTCCGATCCGGACTAATCACCAAGTAGTTGAATTGGGCCTATTGCGTAATGACTGATTGACTGATTCAACATTCGAAAATTTAAAAATGATTGAACAGCAAAGTTTTGCGGTATTCTTTTTACGACGTACAAATTTGCACTTGATTTCGGACGGTTAGAAGGACTTAGTATAATACTTTTAACGGTCTTAACTAAATTTGTCCAGCATGTTAAAAGCAATCATGTTTTTTCTTCTGTGGGATCGCTGGTTTACCTCGGACGCGATGGAAGCAATTAATAGTCCTGCTTTCTTCAACCGTGCCGGATAGGTTTTGTCCAGAAGGTTCCAATACAATCCAATGATAATAAATGATTTTTGAACGGTTCCATAAATGTCCACGCTTTTTGCATTTCAACAAGTTGTCCTTTCAATGAGCAGATATGAACCGTGAGCTCTGTGATAATCTTAGCTAACTTGTTGTTCAGTCATAGTTTTGTTTATTCAACGTGTGATTCATGATGTGGAATATGCATTGCGCTTAGTCTGTCGAACAAGATTAGCTTTTCTTATGGCCATAATGAATTAGGCTTAAAGGCAAAACAAGGACTGTGTGGGAAGTATAGGTAATTAGGGCTCAAAAGAAGTGAGTTCAGTAGCCTATGGACTAGTAGATTGGAGATGAGATGTGAATGAAGTTAAGCTACTTGAAAGGTTATTAAGTAGCAAAAAACGATACAAAATCGTCGTCTCAATAATATTAATTGAAAATCTAGTCTCTCAAATGCTATGGGAGTAGTATCTAGTGACAGGAAGTCATGAACTTCGGAGGATAGCCACTGGCATCTGGCAAGGTTGGCACCTGCAGGGCAGTGGAAGATAGGTAGTGCTATATCCCAGTTAGCTTGCAACTTATGTCGCCCCCGACGTCCCCCATGCCTCAGTGGCTTAACCTTCTGGCTAGTTGGCATCTGCCTCTACCGGTCATGGGTTAGATCCCCAGTAGAGGAAGGAGGGAATGCGCACCACTGACGAGCCGCAATGGAGCGGAACACATCTGGTACTTTTCCCGACAAAGCAGTGATATGTAGCTTGTGATCAACAGAGATGAAAACATCAAATTAAAATCCTCCTACTCATTAGTAATATAACATGTAACCTCTCCTAGTTCAAAATTCTATGGAAGTAGCGTCCAGTGAGAGGGAGTCATGAACCAGAGGATAGCCAACGGTATTAACTAAGGTTGTAAACTGCGTGGCAGTGGAAGATAGGTTGTGGTATATCCCAGGTAGCTTGCAAATTATGTAGCCCATCCGACGTCACCCAGGGCTCAGTGGCTTAAGCTGCTGGTTAATTGACATCTACCTCCAGCGGTTATGGGTTCGATCCTCAGTAAAGGACCGAAGGAACGCGGACCACTGATGAGCCTCAGTAGGGTGAAACGCATCTGGTGCTTTTCCGGACTAGGCTGTGTTACTGGGAAGGAGACATTAAAAATTAAAATCATCCTACTCATTAGTAATAGAAAAATAATACGCTGGACGCATGGTTCATATTGTCTGGTCTGCTGCAACCTTGAGTGATCAAGTTTTCCTCATCCTTTCGTGCGTGATGGTTCTTGAACTGATGATAGAGGGCTGCTTGAGTAAACTGCAGCGCATTCTGGATGTAGTCTATATCTGTTGCAAATTCGTGCGTGTGTGTCTATCTGCGCGTGCACACAGACCGAGGGGCATATTGTTCGGCTGGTCGATTGGCGTGGTCGGCGCTGACGGTTGTTGTTGAGAAACTGAAGCTGGATGTGCGTTGAAGGCGCGACTGATGATTAGGCAGTAGATCCTAAATTGATCCGTAATTCCTTTGCACAACTTCGGATAAGAGTGATTCCGGAGTTGGTGGATAGCTCTGATGATGCGCATTAGAACAGTGTGATACAGATAATGGAGCAATCCACAGGTAACAAGTTTTCACGTGTTGATGTGAACTCGCCAACCGGAAGAAACAGCTAAAGTTGGTCGAATCGTGATCCGTGGGGTGTTTTTTCATTCGAATTGGCTCAGGTGATAGAGCAAAATATTACGATCCGAGTGAGTGTAGACTGGAGGTAATGCATGAATCTTAAAGTCACTTCTCTAGTAAAAAGCGAAGAGGGTGAATATAATGCGGCTGTGGCTGTGGCCTTAGTTATGTTCAGCAAAGGTTACGCGTGTCTCCTCACTTATGTACCCACTTTATAAATGCACAAGAAGTAACTTTTATAACCAATTGTACTCGGAAACAGCTGCGAGTGTCTTTGCATAACCTTAGATAGCTCACCGGTTGCACGCTATGATACTCAAGAGTCAATGTCCATATTTCGGTTAAGTTCCCAATAACTTGCGCGAACCATCGAGTTGTTAACGTGTCATGGAATTTAGCATCCAGTGGGAATGAGGTAAATCTCTACCACTAGCTGTGAATATTAAAGATGGCATCAGCCGTACGCCTGTACACTTTATGGACACTTTTTTCTGCCACGCGACTATCACCAGTCGCGAGGGTTGCCCGGTCCCCTACACAGGCTCTAACCCGCGAACTCCGGGTTACAAGGCCTACGCCGGTAAGCAGTTCTACTGACCTCACATATAGAAGAAACATGCTAAATTTAATTTTTCACACCCATTCTTCCTTATGTTCTCGTCCAAACAAAAAGGATAGCAGTCTACGTTTGTGATGGCTATGTAGCTTGTTTGACTAATCACATACGAACACTTAGTCTGTACAAAATACAAGAGAAATGTATTTGCTAAATTAAATCAGTGTATAATCTGCTGCTATCATATAATCGTACGTCTGTAGTCACAAATTCGTTATTCATCCAGTGGCAGCTTAGCACATAATTCTCAACCGATGTCTGCCCTTGACCGAAAGGATCACACGAGTGCCTTGTAATCCGGTGTTCACATGTTCGAGCCTGCTTAGGGGACTGGGCGGCCCACGCAGCATCCTTAGTGGCTGCGTGACAGCAAAGCATCGGCACGGCATGGCGAAGAGCTGCTAATGCCTAATTCTACTGATGCAGCGATTCGTGGAAAGACCATGCTCTACTGTTCCTGTTTCTGGATGGACTATATGCTTTCCAGTTTCATTCATTACTGACCTCTAGATGTTTGCTGAATCCTGGTATAATCAACTCCATCCAGCGCAAATTTCTAACCGCCTCTAACCATAGGTGATCATAGCACGCCGGAGCATTAACTTGTAGTGATCCTTAAAGTAAGGGGATGGTTGTCCCTCGGGTAGACGTCCCTTGATTCTTGTTCTTATCTTTAACTTCACGCCTGGTATTCTGTGTTCTCGTGCTAGGTGGTCGTAATATGAGCGTCCAACCACCTAAGAGGTATTTGCTTTCCATGGCAGATCCCCAGGTCTAGTAGGGCCTAATTACACACTGGACACGGAAGTCCTCGCAATCCTCGACCGGACGCATACTACATATTTGGTGATCCTACCAGTTCCCGACAGCAGTCCCTGTAGCTGGATCGTTTCCCTTTGAGGCGATCGTAAACCTTCCTGGGCCCATACTGCTTGTCGCGGAATCTCTCGAACCTAGCACACCGCGCTCATTACTTGTTTCGCACATCAGCAGGTCGTCAACCAGACGCATATAAGATATACCGCGAGTTTACTCGCTCTCGACAGCGATCTCTGAAGCAGCATTGCTGCCCTTGCGGCTATCAGTGACCTTCATGCGACCACACTGCTCTTCGCGGACTCTCTTCAGTTGCACTCCTCAGTTGTTTTGTACATCAATAGATCGAGACCGACTAGGTCTTCCGTAGGCGCTGAAGATAGTGCCTGTCAACAGGAGGGATAATGTAGCAGGTTTTAGCGTAAAGTTGTAGGAATTCCTAAGGTAAGCAGATGGTTGTCATTCGGGTAGATGGCCTAAGATTCTCGCTCTTCCCTTTATCTGCACGGATGGTTTACTGTGGTCTCTTACTAGGTGGTTGTGATAGGAACATACAGCCACCTTAGTAGTATTTGCTTTTCATTGCAGCTCTCCTTGTCTATTACGACCTAAGTAAACAATGGACATGGAAGCCCTCGGAATCCTCGACCGGAGGCATACTGCAGCGATAATGTCCAAACTGCGAAATCTTGTTTCCTATCGTCAAGCTAACGGACTGAAGTTAGAATTATGCGTTCACTTCGTGGGACAAAGTTTTGTTTTGTAAACAGATTGAAAGACAGTCAGCCAGTACTACCTCTTAAACACACTTACCCTATTCAATTGAGAAGATGTTTCTTCCTGTTTTCGGAAATAATTCAGTAATGTACTTTTTAAGTTCTCATTTTCCGTCAGTAAACTTCTGTTTTCATTACTAAAAATATTGGACAGGCTGCACAATTCCCGCATCTGGGCTTTCAGCTGTTCAACCAGTAACTTCATTTTTATGTTTTGTCTAAACGCTTTCTTTGTAGCGAAACTCAAATTTCTAAAACAAGTATTAACATTAGAATAGCACTTAACGACACTGCCGCTTTGTTAGCTTCACAGGAAATATACTGAACATTCTGCTCCATCTGCTGTCGCATACGGGCCTTTATTAAACAAGTTGAAGTGACCACCATCTTCCCACCTTTTCATCGAAATACTTTGATTCCATTTCTGCCAACGTAGAGGTTCTTAGTTGTTGTTCATCAGAAAGCTTTTTTTGCAACTGTTAAGATATGTGGTGATTAAATGTCACGAACCATTCTTATGGTGGTCCGCAATTCATCCCTCTCAGTAAAATAGGAGTCAACATTCTGTCCGAAAAGATTTTCTATGTTTTGCTTTATGTTGTTTAATTCAGTTTCCTTTTTCTTGAAACTGGCTTCCATTAATTGGATACTATTTTCCATATCATCCAACTATGAGGTATTTAATGACAACTTATTATTACCTATGATGAACCGTTTTGATAAAATGAAACATAAATTACCAGTCTTTTTTTCTCAAGTTCGCGCGATTGGTGCAGCGAGAACAGTTCCTGCCGAAGAATCGAAATCTAAAAAGTTTGAAGCGGTTTAATGGCTAGCACACTTTGTCCTTTTGCTCCTCGTTTTCACTTATCAGTAGACGCATGACTGCGCTGTCCCTTGCAGACTGCTGTAGCAATGTATGCATATCGGCATTTTCATCGGATATTTGTTTCATTTGTAGTCTGTAAATGCACAGGATGAATTTCGGAATACTCTAGACGTCTGTTCTCCTGTTCTGAAATGTCCAACCTAGTTTGCCATATATTTGCATTCATCTTCGCTGCTTCTATAACATCCAGTATTTGCTTTGTAGACGATAAATCACGTTAATCAACATGATTTTGTAAAGGAATACCTTCTTGTTTTGCATATCTTTTGCACTATCATCCATTCTGATGTTAGTTCTATCTCCTTTTTTAGCGCTCCGGACGTTTCTCGTTTTTAGGATACACTTCGCCGAACAGGATCAGAAATAATTCTTGATTGCTAAAACACAGGAACGTGCAATTCAAAAAGTAATGTGGCATAACGAACGGTAGAGGCAACGGTCTCGAGATTGAGCCCAGTAAAACTGAGCGCAATCCACCGTATACGACTGTTAAGTCAGTCACGGCATGCGAACTCAAACGTCCTAAAAATCAAATAGCAAATAACAGTGCATGTAAAGTAGCGTTGAGGTTAAGCATTTTTAAAAAGTAACACGATAAGAATCTTATTGGAGACATTTTCCGCAATGGAAAGATGTTTGGAAGTTGCTTAGTGATTGCGAATTGAAATTCCTCCAATGGTTTCTAACTGAGATAGAAACTACACCCCAAAAATTATGGGTGTGGTGCATTCAAGTACAGCATGACAAACGATCGGAGTGAAAGCGGTCGATGTCTACTAGGGCAGAGTGCATCGGTGTAATACTGAAATTGTACCGGTTTACTAGTTAGCTAACAGTAGCACGGAGAAGCAACTAGAAGTAATTAGTGTCCAAAGGGATTAACAAAGCACCCAACTTGAAAAACGGTTGTTAATATGTATAAATGAAACATGGTGGTGAGAACGGAAGAAGTTAGAAGTGGGTTTAAGGTTGGAAACGTAAAGATAACAATCCCAACCGAATGGGCGCCTTCTAAGACGCCTAAGGCAGGCCGAGACTGTGCCAGTCAGGCAAAGACAACTGGCTATTCAGTTGTTGCTTTGATAAGGAGCGGATAGAATAACTTGTGTTGAAAAAGCAACAAGGAAACGCGATTATTATAAGAAATGTACGTTCTTGTGTAGATTCGTCGCAGTCAGACACAGACAGACGGCCACCACACATCCAGGAAAGTGCTAGACGACCGTTTCGTCCTGTTGGGACTCGTCAGTAGCGCGCACCCGCCGAATCCTGCAGGATTCGAACCCACGACCTTACTCTTGCGAAGCAGCGATTCATGTCACTGAGCCATGGGCGACGGCAGCGGACCGCCATGACTGATATCTAACTGCGATATAGCGCGGCTCATCCTCCACTGTCTTGCATGTTATGATGTGCAGAGGACAGGGCTGGCCCCCAGAGCAACGACTTCCTTTGCAAGCCGCCACCAATCGAGGTGGCAAGTATGCTGCTAAGGCAACTACTGGTTATTCGTAAGTGGTAGGGAGATTTATTTGGTTTTTGTGTAGCTTCGTCGCAGTTAGACACAGACAGGCAGCCATCACACATCCAGGAAAGCGCTAGACGGCTGTTTCGTCCTACTGGGACTCGTCATTAGCGCGCACCCGCCGAATCCTGCAGGATTCGAACCCACGACCTTACACTTGCGAAGCAGCGATTCATGTCACTGAGTAATGGGCAGCAGCATACTTGCCACCTCGATTAGTGGTGGCTTGCAAAGGAAGTCGTTGCTCTGGGGGCCAGCCCTGTCCTCTGCACATCATAACATGCAAGACAGTGGAGGATGAGCCGCGCTATATCGCAGTTAGTTATCAGTCATGGCGGTCTGCTGCCGTCATCCATGGCTCAGTGACATGAATCGCTGCTTCGCAAGAGTAAGGTCGTGGGTTCGAATCCTGCAGGATTCGGCGGGTGCGCGCTACTGACGAGTCCCAACAGGACGAAACGGTCGTCTAGCACTTTCCTGGATGTGTGGTGGCCGTCTGTCTGTGTCTGACTGCGACGAATCTACACACAAAGCAAATAAATCCCCTACTACTTACGAATAAAAAGTGTACGTATTTAGTCCAATGACTGCGTCATTGTAAGGCTTACCGAAACATATAATAACAGCTTACACGGTGTTCCCTACATGAGAACGGTTGAGAGAACTCAGTGCGGTGAATTACAACAGTTTATAGGCAAGCATCAAGAGGACGAACGGATTACCAACTAAGTAACACCTCGGAGGTGGAGCGGTAAGTTCGACCAACGCATGAAACTAACCGAAGTCCATTGGCTGCCATCGATCAAGAATCACAAGGAAAACAGTAAATTATGAAAAACGGATTTATGTATATGATCACTGTGGTGGTGTATGGTTTTCCAGAAGCCTGAAGACTATCGCCCTTTGGCACCGTAAATGATGGCTGAATTGTCATATGCATAGTGCAACCTACATGAACAGCTGCCAGACCTCGGGATACTCCACAGTCAGATGCGAGAGACAAGTTTGTAAGAGTCAATTAAGATATAGGATACTAACTGCGATTAGACAAAAGTTAACAATGCTTTAAAACGTGTAACACGGCAAACAGTTAACAAATTCCGTTGGATAGTTGGGGTAAAAATTGCAAGATGAAAAACGATGTCGAAATTATTAGGTGCATGTTATAAGGCCATCATAAGGTTCGTAGTAGCATCGATGCAGGTATTCATGCTTGAAGTGTAATAGGAGTCCGATTTAGTTCGCCAGTTATTCCACCCCAATGCTTTCGTACTATAAACACATGCTTTATCGCTTAATGTAAAGGCGTTAGTGTGCCACCAGGTCGACTTCTGATTTGGTATAAGGATGGGCCATTACCTAAGCGTACTGGGAGTGAGTTTCGATGCCGTGATATTCGGAAGCAGAAAAGATTTCGTCGACTTACCAGTCGGCTGCATTATGTGGCCAGATCGAACTGACCCCTTTTCAGGGATGTATTTCTGTCGAATTTCAGATATGGTGCCAAGTGTGGTGCGGGTTCTCTAGGATCTGATACATCTATGTGAGATATCCTGTAGACACCGATAAAAGCTGTTGCACAGTTTGTAGGAGAAGTAAAAGGAACATTCAGGCTTTTTGTCGCCCTGAGCTGTTCAGTCTCGAGCACAGTTTGATGGTGCTTCTTCTAGGGTTCCCACGCTTGCATAGCATAAACCACGTGCGGCCTCAAGTATGCACTGAGCAGTTGCAAGAAATAGATACGTCGAAGTCTCGGCACACCTTGGGTTAAATTGAATTCTTTGAAGCTCTTTCGGTCTGTCTTAAACAGCCACGAGCATCCTGCACGAGCGCACCTTGGTTGCATTCATGAGAAGCGAGCGTCAGAATTTGCTGTCCTAGCAGGTAGCCATAAGTATTCTGATGGCGTATGCTCTGAAATTTTCGATTGGCCACGTTGTACTGGAGTATATCCTCGGTGGACCACGCGCAGCCCCTGTCCAGAACACTCTGTTGCGATGTACAAGGTTTCATTGCATTGGCCGTACGCCATCATCAGCGAATAAAAGGAAATTAAAACAGGACTCCGTCTCGTAGTCGTTTCTAAATACCGGGTGCAGACGTGATCCGAGTAACGAGTTTTAAAGTACACCGCACTGGACATCAAATAAGTATTTTAGGTTGCTGCCAACTTTCACACTACGATGACGTTGAACGATAAGCTTGTCTCTAGAGCCCAGAGCGGATTCGCAGATTTCGTAATCACGAAGCTTGTGAAGTAGAATGCGATGATCCAGTTGATCAAATGCCTATTAGAAATCCAGATGGAGAAAAACTACTTCGACCCCATTCTTGACAGCTTCCGCCCGACAAACATAGAGTATTGGTAGGTTCGTGTTACAAGGCTTTTCTGACGAGATCCATGCTGTTCTGGAGAGAGAAATTAGATTCCCACAAGGTACCCCATGACTGCCACAGCGACAATGGACACCATTACCATGAAGATCACAGAATATTACATTGTCGGCCTGTTATAAGCTGGTTCTACAGGGCTACTAATCTTGTATATTGGAGTGACAATGCCGTGTTTCCACATTGTTGAAACCTGCTCAACGGTTCAAGCACGCCCATGGGAGCTAATTGTAGCACCTTTGGACGAATGTCCTCCGCGTCAGGAAAGCTGTATTCGTGCAGAGGTTTCATTTGCTTCAGCCCATCCGTGTTGGTAAATGATACGTGGCTCGGCCGGCGCTCGAGTGGTCTGCACGCCTGGCTTGCAATCATATGGTCACCGGTTCGAGTCCGCTTAGGGGAGGACGTTCTCGCAGTATACTCAACTCATGCACGGCTGGTGGTGGTCGCGCGGCAGCGAAACGCCATTACGGCGTAAAGCTGAAGCATGTGTTAGCAAGAACCTAACGAATAGACATAGAGCCAAACGAAATTATGGAAAGCACTGGAAGTAGACAGGTTTAATCACCGCACCAGCATCATGTTCCATAAGCTAAAGGTAACAAACACACTTCAGCGACTGTGCCGCAGGAAAATAAAAAAGGAACAGTTTGTCAATTTGCACAAGTCATATTTCCAGTATTTTTGTGTTTTTTGATTGTTAAGCATTAATGAGTAGTAGGCTTTTGGTACAATTCGAAGATAATTCATCATGGTCCACTATCGGTCAGCAGGCATCGGCAAATTTGGAAAAGAATCAAACAGCTCTGTTTCGACCTTTTGGGTCTCGTCAGTGGTGCGACTTTCCTCTGAATCTAAACAAGCATATACACAGCTCTTCCACTGGTTTCGATTGCGCGCCATATGCTGAATTGTTTCCTGACATCAGCAACCTTCGTTGTCATGTCTTCAACCAGACACACATGCGGATCCAGCTGCGAAACAACAGAAAGTCAATGCACTCAAACCTTTTCTCAAGGTGGATTGTTGAGCACCGCGTGGTCTCTTCAAGTCGCGTCCTGCACGAGCGAACAGCGCCGTATGGGGACAATCATCATCATTATACACGCTAGCTGCAGATGGAAAACACCTCAGATGTGGTGCCGTAATAAAAATGCAAAAAAGTGAAACAGTGCCACGCCGACTGAGTTACTAGTAACTATAGACATCGTTCCGGAGGGCTAACAGTCGGTCATTATTCCTATTAATTGAAGTCTTGGGTGGAGAGGGAGGCTAAACGGAGGGGGGTGGACTAAAGAACTCACAACACAAACGCCACTGAGGTCGGTTCCTAGCAATGTCAACAAGTGTATCTAGTCAAACGTGTTTACCATCCTTCGGTCCCCAACCAGGGAGCCGAGATGCTCTAACCTAGGGCAACTTCAAAGTA